CGCCCCTCCTGTGTCACCGGGAGCAGTTCTCTGGGAGAGAGCGGGCAGGGCGCCCGCCGCCCGGGCGCGGGGCAGGGCTGCTCCGCTCCCGGAGATGGTACAGTTTTATTGTACAGGTGCTAACAGGACTGAGGATGGGACAATCCTGGTTTGTCTGGCTCTCCCCTGCTCCGCAGCGGGAGCGTTGGGTGGGTTTTTTTGTTGGTTCGTTTTTCCTTTGTGTTGTGTTTCTTCCCAGCCAGGGCAGGTGTTACCCCTTCCCCTTGGACTCCCAGCCGCCAGCCTCCCCTCCTGGGGGCCGGGCAGCACCTTCTTTAAGCCGAGGGTTTTTTGCCTTTGGGTGTGTATTCTGGTTGCTCTTTCTGATTTCTGTTTTATTATAAGCAGCAACAGGCTGTGGTGTCAAAAACACTGATGTACAGAAAAAACCTGCATCAGGCCCCCTGTCTCCTGCCTTTTCTTCTTTGTCCCGTCTCTGATGCCTGCTGCGGGCAGGGTTCCTTGCGTGATGGCCCGAGCCTGTGGGGCAGCAATGGGAGGCGGCACGGCTGCCCACCCCGAGCCGCCCACAGCAGCGCCGGGGCTGGGCACTGGGGCAGGCGCTGGCTGAGGCAGCGGTGGCCTTTTACACCGAGCAGCCATGGAGCAGGGGGACATCGTCAAGCCAGAAAAGCTGTTGGGGAGACTCTGCTGCTTCTCCCAGCGCATGGACACCTGCTGCTGGACTAACGCTGGTAAGGGAAGCTCTGCGGCCAAGCCCGGCTGTGCCCAAACGCCACCGCTGATGGCCGGTGAGCTGTGTCCAGCCCCAGTCCCCGGCAGCCCTGGCCATGGGGCAACTGTTCCCTGTCTGGCTTCACCCTGCGGGAGCAGAGGGGGCTCGTGGGGCACTGCTGGGATTTTATTTGTTTTTTTTTTCTTTGCAACATGCCTTGGAAAGATCCATTTTAAACCTGTTTCCCCCACTCCCCAGCCCAGGTGCCCTCCAAGGGCACAGGGATGGCTCAGCCTCTGTATGTGCCCTGGACGTACCTGAACCCCAAAACAGCTCCCGAGGTATCAGCCCGTGCGCAGGAGGCAGCGAAGGGGTGTGCGGGAGCAAGGGCCGGGGCTGGGGCACATGCACGGTCGGCCACGGCACTGATGGGGAGGGGGTGTGCTGTGTGCCTGTGGGCAGCGGTGGGGGTGGTGTGTGCCGGTGGTGTGAAACACACACACACATGCAGACACGCACAAAACTGTTTTGCAAAGCAGCTATAACTACGGCGCCCACAACCCTCCGCTTCTTTCTTGATCCAGACATCCCTGGTCCTGCCGCAGTTACTGACCCACGACGCCAGACCAGGGGAGGGTTGGCAGCGGTGCTGGCGGGGCTGGGGTGCTGGCGTGATCGGGGTAGTCCGGGGGTGTCCTTTATTCTTCGTGGATGGCTTTAAGCTTCCAAGAAACAAAGGTCCTTAACTTCAGGGTGGGGGCTGTCCTTCTCCTCCTTGCAATGAGCTGGGGTCCTCTGGTCGTGCTGGCTGAACCCTGACTGTGCAGAACGCAACGTACACTATCTAGATCTTAAGAAAGTTCATATGATTTCATACGATAAAGACTAATTGGTGCAAGAGTGGGGGAACAAGATTTCCCCAACCCCTGCACACAGCTGGCTGTGGCTGGGCCGCGTGTACGTGTGCCCACAGGCAGGCAGGGCAGTGCGGGGGGGTGTGCACAGGGGGGTCGCGGCGGTGA